CTGCCCTTTGGCATGTGGGGGATCACAACCTGCCGCACTGCTGCCACCAGGTCCAGGGACATTTTGGCAATCTCATGGGCGTGTTTGGTGCCATTCCTCTCTGGCAGGCCACTCACCACCATGTAGGCATCCCCGATGGTTTCCACCTGATGGGAAGGGGCACGTGTCACTAAGTGAGTGGCAGGAACTGAGCTTTCCTTTGGAAAGAAAATCAGAATAAAATCTATTTTAGCTGTCCAGCACTTGCCAAAATGTGGTGTAGTCCCTGTAGGATGGCAGGTCTTGTATTTCATAGATTTTGGCTTCCTGGCCTGGGGTATTTGATATTCACCAGAAAACAGAGTATGAAAGATTTCAGCAGATTCCTTTGCTGGGGATTTACACTCACCTTGTACACGTCATAAGACTCAATCCTGGTGTCAAAGCAGACGTAGAGATTGTTGAGCATCTCAACCACTTGCAAGGGAGTGCAGGAGGCAGCAATGCTTGTGAACCCCACGATGTCTGAGAAGAAGATCGTGACCTGTCACAGGGAGAAGGAGAGATGGAGCCAGGGTGTCCAGTGGTAAAGCACCGGGGATTTGTGAAATCCTGAGCACAGCAGCCTAAGGCACAAGCTGCAGGTAGTGCCAGTCTTGCAAAACTCAATAGATACAATCCCAAATTAACAAGCTCTGGCTCTGAATTGTTTTCTACTACTCTGAAAGATAAAATTATTCTTATCTCCAAAGTTTATCACCTGCACTTCAGTGAATACCTCATGCTAATGGGAGACTGAAAGTCAAATGCTTTGAATCTTGTGAGCAGTGATCAGGAAACTTCTTATAGAAGTAGGATCTCATTTTCCTTTAAAAGTGATTCAAACTGTGATAAAACTAGGTACCCCAAAACACTGTGAAATAAAATCTCAACTGCTCTCTCTGCTCTTGTTCAGTTAGAAAATATTAACTGGGTTTTGTTTCTCCTCAAATTATGTTTGTCATGATCAAGTAATTTACAGGAAAAAATCACTTTAAAAAATCAAACTTAGAATGGAATTGAGGAAGAAAAATGTGTATTGCAGCTGATGGCAAAGAATTTTCTTCTCTGTTCTCTCTGAATTGTGTCAGTGTTTAAACTCAAATTGCCCTTATTAATACCAATTCATCTGGAAGGGCCACCATTTCACTCTGCCTTGGTTCAGCACTTTTGATGTCATGACTACTGTGGATTATAATTAATTGTGCAATTACAGGTTGTTATTTTGATAATGACACTCAGAGATTAAATGCAAAGATTTAGTACTGTGTTTCACAGCTGAAGGTAAGGGGGTGTCCAGGGAAAAAGAGAGAATAGAATTGCAATTACTATAAAATGGGGATTTGGGCTGAGGGCTATGCAGCACAGCTGCTAAATTCAACACTGACAGCAGCAATTCTTTTATTCTTTTATTCTTCATATTTTACAAGGAGGAGACTCATTTCTTGCTCCCATGAACTCATGATCCAATGGTGCTGGCTGGCTGTTGGGGGTAGGTTCTTAAACACAATTTACCAGTATGTTTGACATCTAAAGCTTTCCATTTGGAAATCTCAGCTCTTCTTCCTTCCCCATCAGCCTAAGTGCTCCATAGCTCTTTCCAAAACCCACTGGGAATATTTGGATTTCCATCCACACTCAGTTCTGAGTGCAAACCAGGATCCTCAAAACTGTGACAAGGTAGGTGCTATTTTAGGTGAATATTTTTTTCCCTTGGTGGTAAAATCCTTTCCATTTGCTAACCTGATCATAGTTTTCTGCCTCAACTTTTTGGCATTTCCTCAGCTGCTTGGCCACAGACTTTGGCAACATCTGGTGCAAGAGGTCCTCAGCCAGGCGCCTCTCCCTTTTCAAGTCCTCTGTCTTTTCCTTGAGGTTCCTGGCGTAATTGTGTATCCAATCTGTCATTTGCTTGAAGGACATCAGAACAATGGGGTAAATGAGACAGGCAACCACCAACAGACTGATCTTAAGGCTTATTGCAGACAGGATTTCCTTGGATTTTTTGTGCAGTTTTTCCTGTCCCTCCTGCAGCAGACAGCTCTGTGCATGGTGCAGTCCCCTCACCGTGGCTTCCAGGGACACAAAGTCACCCAAGCCCAGGAATGGGGTAAAGAAAGAGATTCCTTCAGAGTGGGTGAAATAAAGTGACAGATTGACATTATCTGCCCAGCACTTGTGTGCAGTCTCTGAGGAGAAGAGAGCATAGCTCAGAGTGACAAAATGTTGATGCAGTGTGGTTTGAAGGCTCATAGGTCCTGGCTGGGCTTTGAGCACAGCTTCTCTGATTTGGAGCATAAGTTTAAAAGCCACTGTGTCTGCCCAGTCAGGATTGTGTCTCATGGCTTTGAGGTCCTCATGGGGACTCCTGAAACGCTCAAGCAGTCCAGAGATTGCTCTGGACAGCACCTGCCTGGCTTCAGTAACCCCAGAGATATTCAATTTGTGTCTCAAGTCAGTTATGTAAAATCTACAGATGGAGATTTTCTCCTCCTTGCACTGGCAATTCTCACAGTACAGCTCTGCTTCACTTGCCATACAGATGGAGTTTAAGTTCCCCAAGAGCTGAGAATGGAGTGATGTATTCCTTGTGCCTGCTGCTGGGAGCAGCCAGCTGTGCCTTTCTTCCTGCAGGAGAGAGATGAGCTGAGCAGCCCAAAGGTTTTCACAGGAGGAAAGTTCCTGAAGGGCTCTGCCTGTGTTTTTCCATATTCTCAAGCTGTTGCTCAAATCAAAAGAAATGGCCCCAAGGAGACTGCAGAGGGAGACCATGCATGCTGTCAGAATCCTTTGAACTGTTTTTCTACCACCGGCATTGGAGGGAAAACACCTAAAAAAAAAATTAAAAAAACAACAGTGGCTTTGTCTGATCCTGGGAATGTTACTTCTAGCTCCTGAAACCACAGATATTTAAAAATTTCCATGCATTCTGAAACAAAGCAAAAGGAGTATGCACTATCTGGATGTTTTTTAAGACATATTTTATATTTTGTTCCACCTGACGTTAATTTTAAAAGAAAAGCTGTATTTAAGAGACTGCTTCCTTGGCACACTCTGATCTGCAAAAACAGATGAATGATACAGTTTTTCTGTGAGAAAAAAAGGTAATAAAACCATTTGCTGTCGGTTTTATTCTCTCCAAATACTTTGATACTTCTCTCCAAATCTTAAGGAAGGCCATGAAAAGATAGGTTACTTATTCCCCCAGTGATTCCAGTGATCACAAACTGGAACTGTTGATTTTTTAAAATCAAACTTTGAGAATTTGTTCTTAATAGGCATTTCCATATGATGAATAATTTCTGTTGATATGTTCAAATGAGCTAAGGTGTTTTTTGCAATATTGCCTATATATTTCAGAAGGAAAATGAATCACATTTCTGTTTGGTTTCAGTTTTTACTGAAGCATTCACACATCCAATTTTTATTGCTTGATCTTCATGATTACCCTTCTGTCTCTGTTTCATGCTGCATTAATGGACATCCATGCTCCATACAGCAAAGTGACCTCTAATGATTTTAATTTTCAAAACTGTTATTCCATTACAATCTTACACTAACGATACTCATGAAAAAAACTCAGGATGTGATGCTGGAGCTGATGACTCCTGAATAACTGGATAATCCTTATTTCCACTGATAAAGAACAAAGTTCTGCATAGTAAAGCTGATTGAAAAAGTCCTCCTCACATCCCCTGTTCTTTCAGATATAGGAAATCACACTTTAATCAGACAAATAAAACCCAATGAAGCCTATTCTTTCTCAGCAGGGGCTGATATTAAGCAAAACAAATTCTTGCTGAGCAGAACGGTGGTCAATGGTTGTAAAGCAGAAGAAAAGTGATAAAAATACCATCCCCAAAGATTATAAACAGCCATGCGTTCTCTTATTAATTTAATACAATTTCTGTTTAATAATATATTTACTTTCAGTCCAAAGGTTAACATTTGCAAAATATCAAACTAAAAGGAACTGCAAGCCTAGAAAATAAATCCCTGAGCATTTCTGCTCTCACAACGAATTTCCAGCCTTTTCCTTACTCTGTCTACCACTTACCTTTGTGTCACTTGCCCTCCATTTAAAATCATTGCTTTTAATTTTGGAAACATCTCGTACGTGCCCGGGGAGAAGAAAAACACAACGAAAATCCACCTTGATTTTATACTGATCCACCTTGATTTTATATTTGATTTTATACATCTTCGATTAGGATGAAAGAAATATAAAGAGGGTCTTTAATTGAGTGCCGAGCTAAAAGTGGTGATTTCTGCTTTGCTTTGCCAAAAAGTCCCCGTTTGTGCTGGCAGGGACTGAGACCTCACCTGCATGACCTCAAACGAGCCATGGAGGGGACAGGTCTGTCCTCAGAGCTGGACCTTGCCCTTCCCCTGCTGGCTCCTGGCTCTCAGGTGCTAAAGCCTCTCGGTGAAACGTTTTGCACTCACCTGCAGGGACCTGCTGCCTCCTGTGCTGCCTTCCCCGCGGGCATTGCTGGCCCAGGTGCTGGTACCTGCCTCCAGCCCCGCGCTGCACCTCTGCGCCCTCCTCCCGAGCCCCCCGAGCTTTTTGTGATGCTCTGACCCTTCCCTCTGCCCTCCCTCTGCACAGCAGCTTCTCACCTTCCCCCAGGGAAAAATCTCCAGCATTACCCAAACACAGACTCTGGGGTTTGCCAACAGTCAGGAAGAAGTGACAGAGACACATTTTGTTTTCATCTTGCAAAAAATACTGTTTATTTCACTAGTTTTTGGTTTAATACCTGTGTTGTTAAAAGCATAATTTCCCAGTTCTTTGTGATCAAAGGTGTCGTGATTATGACTTTATTCAAACTGCTTTCCTTCTTGGCATCTCTCATCCAGTTCTCATTAGATTAGTTGGTTGCCATAACCTGCAAAAATGTAAAACAAATGAAAAACCAGATCATGAGATGCAGGAATTTGTGAACAGTGTATGTTGTGTCCAAGTCACAGGATTTAAATAACTGAAATAAGATTTTTGCTTCTCAGTCAAAGTTTATATTAAAATATAATTGACATTCCAGACTTGAGCTGCGTGTGCTACCTTTTAGGATGCAATTGCAACAATCAGTGTATTGATGAATGCAAATCTGAGTGATCACCTCTGAAATACAGAGTAAATCTTTATGACTACAATAAAGCTCTAGGATAAAAGGAGAAGGCATTCCTATTATCAAAACTTATTTAAATAAGTGGGGAAAAAAATCGGATATCTGTTTCAGAGGAGGATACTTTCAATTGGTAGGGGTTGAATCAAGAGTGATTCAGCTCCCCTGGCAGGTGGCAGAAATGCCAGCACAGAAGCCCAGCACAGCCAAGTTCCTGCCCTGCAGCAGCTGCAGGGCCTCACCTGCTCGATCCAGCTGTTGTAGGCAGAGACTCGAGTGAACACAGAGGGTTTCCTGTAGTAGTTGCAGCCAAGGGAAGAGCCAAAGCTGACGATGCCGTGCACTTCCCATCTGCCATCAGCCCCCTGGCAGTTCAGGGGGCCCCCAGAGTCCCCCTGGGAGGAAAGGGAGAACAGTCACAGTGTGAGAGCCCCTCTGGGGGGGTTTTATCCTGTCATTCCCACCAGGCTTCCTTGCATCCCAAGCCCTGAGAGTGAACTCACGTTACAACTGGAGATGATTCCATCCCCACCAGCACAAACCATGGTGGTTTTCACTATCTGTCCCCACCAGGAAGGTTTGGAGCAGGTTGCATAATCCACCACCAGCAGAAGGCCTTGCTGCAGGTCATCAGGAAGGGCTCCATTTGCTGAGAGAGAGCACAAACAGAGTCATGGTACCAGCTGGCACTGAAGGAATGATAAAACTGCTCTGCTAAATTTCTCTTGGGATCTGGGTTCCATCACTCCAGGTAAAACACTCCATAGGGGCTGTATTAAAGGAGAAGCTGTTATGGGTATGAATGTCCCTTATTCCATTCTTTTATATACACCTTAACTTACTAAAAATTTGCATTCCATTAAAAAAAATGTCTCATTGTTAGAGAAATAAATGGCTAGTCTTTTTCCAGGAGTTTGCAATTTACTTATCCCTCAAGGAATTGCCTCCTGAGCCAAGCTGACACCTCTGCTCAACTCTGAGATTTTCTTCACTTTACATCTATTCCCCTGTGTGTCTTCAGATATTCAGCAGGTGTGTTGGGATTAGCAAATGCACCTGTCTGCACACTATTCACATTTGCATTACAATAGCTCCTAAAAGCTCAATAAAGGCCCCTCAGGTGCATTACCAGCTCTGTTAAAAGGAAAATAAACTCGAAAGGGAAAAATCATAATGTGTGTGTGAAGTGGGACCTAATATAATAAATTACCTCTCTACACTGAGCTTTGAGGGGATCTTGAGCACCATCAATCTTTGCCAGCAATCTCAGAGGAGAAGGCACTTCTGAAAGTTGTTTTTTTTTTTTATTCCATGGTTTTGCAAATGCCCAAGTACTCACTCTGCAGCCTTCCCCAGCCAGTGACATAGCAGGCAGTGTTGGAGGACAGGATGCTTTGGGCAGGGGGCAGGCAGGCCAGCTGGATCTGGTCACTCAAGGTGACGTGCTTGGAGAGTTTGATCAAAGCAATGTCGTACCTGTGGAGACATGCACATGGTGGAGAGAGAGAGAGAGAAAAAGGGAGGGTAAAAAGGTTTGCAAAATGGATTCAGATCCAGTAGCCTGAGTACTGAGCAGGTACAGAGCACTGGGGCTATTCAGGAGAGAAGGGAGCAAAGGTCAGTGCACAAGCAGCAGAGATTCCTGCACCCTAAAGCAATGGGGAAGTTCCTGGACTGGAAGGCCATTCCCTGCAGAGCTGCCTGTTTTCCTGAAGGCAGAAAGTTGTCTTTTATAGGTCTTTTTTCACCAAAACCAAGCATATGTTAGGACTCACTCCAAGGGCTGGAACTGAGGGGATTGCTTTGTTACTCCTCTGAGCCTGCAGCAGGACAAAGGGGTCCCTCAGCCACGTGGATATTAATGATCAATAAATAATTCTGTGTCTGTGCTGCTGGTGGGAGGGCTTCAGAGTGTTGTATGAAATGTTTCATTCCCTTTCATTGTACAAGAAATATCATTGCATGGAACAGCTTCCAACCCAAGCACGAACATGCAAAATGGCTTCTGGAAACACTATTAATCAGTAAGAAATTAATATTGTTAATTGCTTTGTATTCTCTTGAGGGGGAAGGTACAAACTGGACACTGCAACAGGAGGCTCTAAACATGAATTTAATTGCCATAACCCCAGGTGGGTTGGATTCAGGCAGTTTGATTTTTACCCTCCACCTAAACCCAAAAAATACCTGCTGCCAGCTTACCCATTTGCAAGATCCTGTGGATTCCAGTTCTCATGAACAACGATCTTTTGTGGAGAAAGTGCAATTGATCCTTCTTCCTCAGCTGCTAGGTTGTATTTTCCAAGAAACACTCGATATGTCAGAGAAGAGCTGGGCAAGGAAAGGATGAGCACTGAGTTATGCAGCTGCTGCTCAGGCATCTGCATCTTTGGCTGCTGAGAGATTCAATAAGAGCGTCCTGCACTGTAATCTCATCACAGGCATGTTTGTCTGGAGCTGAGCCTGTGATCTGCTGAGGGCAAAGATTGTGGTCTAGGCTTGATAAACATTTCAGCTCTGAGCTGGCCTCTCAACTCCTGCTCAAGGTCTCATTAACAAACTCCAGGTGCCTCCAATCTTTGCAGGATTCAGCTCATATTCTTCAATGCAGTAACAATTTGGACTTCTTTTGACAGCCATAAATAGCTTCAATAATAAACAACTGTGTGATAGATAGAATATGTAGGATTTATAATAATAACATGCAGGCAATCCTTCATGTTTCATATTATGATATTTGCTACAACTTAATGTTACAATAACCATATGCCACCAGAGCAAAATGGGATTCTATTTGTGGAAACATTGCTGTACCTGGTAATTTCTTTGTTACACTGCCACTTAATATGAAGAGTTTGCTGAAAATGATCGGTATATTCAAAATATTTGTGATTATTTCTTCAGGGAGTGGATTGATTAGTTAATTTATGGGTCCGACTGACACATATATTACAGAAAAGGGCAACACAGCTGAATTTTAATAGCAGCTTGAAAACAGAAGGATGTTTGTAGTTTGTTTATGGAAAATGGAAAGTATATCATTCAGGTAACTTGTTTTTTCCCCTTTTACATTAAGAAAATAAAGAGATGTCATTCTCCTGACTTTTAATCAAAAGATATGATGCAAAACTCAGAGCCTTCAACTGAGAAAGGGAGAGCTGGCATGGATAGAGTTTTCATTCATCTCTTTCTGCTCATGTGCTGCTTCCTGGGCCAGGTTTCTCTCCTTTGCTTACCTGATGCAGTGGGCAGCTGTCAGTACCCAGTTGGTGGCAATGAGGGTTCCCCCACAGGTGTGACGCCACTTGCCATTGGAATTGTACTGAAGGGAGGCCTGGGATCAAGGAACCAAGTAAGGCTCAGCCTTTTTTTACTCATTTTTCATCCTTGTGCTTTGTTCCTGCACCCAGAACACAACTTGCTGATGGTTGGTGAAGTTTCCAACTCCTGGCCACAGAAAGGCTTTCCCCCCTTCCCCATCATCCAAAGCTTGATTTTTAAAATACATCTTGCTTAAATAGCCCAAGTCTATGTGGCTTTAAACAAGAGCCTGCATCACTAGCAAAATGTGGCACATTCAAAGCTTTCTTAAAAAGACTAGAAACTTCAGGATTGATCAAAACAGAAGAGTTAAAACCTCAGACATGTCAGGCAAGATGCATTAAATGGGATTTTAGAGGTGGTTTTGTTCAGTTGTGCTGAGGAGAGATAGCACAGCCCCAGTTACTCCAGGGAAAGCACAGAATGACCAACCTGCCAGGGCCAGCTGTAAGGTCTTGCATTTTCCCCTCCAACAACTTTGGACACAAGAGGGGGGTAGGCAGGAACCCCACAGCCAAATGCTAGAAGACATACAAATAGGATGTGTGTTATGAAAGTAGGTTTAAAAAAATATCTGTAAGATATGAAATAGCACAGCACCCAGTTACTCTTTCTTGTAATGACCATCCCATGCTGGGTTTTTTCTTTGATGCAGAATGTTTGTCTAAAAAACCAGGAAAGTTGTTTTTAGATTTTAAGTAACTTCTTCTTTTAAAACTAAAGCAGAAGTTGGACACATACCTGCAGGTGCCAGAGTCAACACAGCAAAGAGGATTCCAAGCATGGTGCCAGTTCCTGGGTGCTGCAAGCTCAACTCCACACCATTTATACGGTGTTCCTTATCTCTGGGACATATGACTTAAAATGCAGAGCTAGTCCAAGACCAATGGAAAACTTGTATCACTGTGGGATAATTCTTTATATACATAAGTTGCTAAAATATCCCCTTTTAGGTGGACCTTGGATTCAGGCTATATAAACAATTTGGTTAAAAAAAAAAATTCCACATTAGTTACTTATTATCTGTAGCAGCTGTTTGCATTTCCATTGCCTTGGAAGTTCATCACAAAGGTGTTCACAGAATGAAAATATTACATTAATTATTCTAACACTTGGTGGTATGTCAGCAGTAAGTTTCTGATATATTTGGACAGTGATAGATCCAGATGTGTTGGTGGGGTTGGATTGGTTGATTTTTAGAGGCTCCCTTCCTACCTTAGTTATTGTACAATTCTACGACTGCTTGGGATTTTATTTTGGTCCGGGATCTGCTTTTGTTTTATTTGTGTGTAACTGAATCTACAGCATTGTACTGACTGAAAACCTGTATTTTCTTTCCCAGATCAGGTTGCATGTGTTTTAGCATGCCAGACTTCAGTGAACCAGACTGCAACCACTTGGAAGTGGAACATCCTCCAAGTCATACAGAGAAGCAGCTGTCCATGATGAAGCAGAAAGCCTGGTATGTTGTGGTGAGTCAGACTCCATTCCTTTCCTATTTCCCTTTGTTAGATCAGCAGATCAGAGAACAGGGCTCCTGCAGCATTGCAAATGAGCCTGTGCACACCCCAGAGCAGTGCTGACCTGTGCTAGATCACACTGTGAGCTTGTTAATGGAACAGCAAAGCACTTTCACTCACAGGACAAAGCAGGCAGGAGCAGGCATTTACACCCCTCCGGAGATGCTGCCACAAAAGGAAGAGTCCTAATTCAATACTGGCATTTGAGATCAGTGACTAGACATCAACACTTACCCATCTCTTTTCTCTTTGTTATCTTCTACTACAGGCATTTTCCATCCTCTGACACCTTTCCATCTACCAACGATTGAAAAACTGTTGCTGGTTATTTGAAAACAATCATCTCTATCCCCTAAGCCAGGACACCCACAGGGAACAAACTTACTAGAATGGAAACAAGAATCATAATGCCAGTTCTGCAACCAGAGCTGTGTTGTACACAGACACCAACCAAGGGGCTCAAAAATGCTGAAATAAATCTAATGTTTAATGTCAGGATTAACAAACAGCAAAATCCCTGATTTCCAGAGCTTCTATTCAGCAGTAGGTACTGTTTTGGATGAAAGATGCCTGGAGCACACATGTGCAAGGCAGAAATATAGAATGCTTTGCTGTTTTATTTGCTTCTCAAGAATGTATTTTCCTACCCAGACAATAGCTCTTGAGAAAGCTGCATTTTGAATTGCAAATTGGATCAACCAAGCCTTGTTCTGGCATCTTGTATTTATTATCTAACAAAAGCAGAAACCAGGATTAACAGTGCAGAATTGAGATTCTAAATTTTTTTTCCATTAATTTGTTGGCACTTAGTATCTGAATTTACAAGCTAAACATGTTATGCTGCTCAGTTTAATTTCCTTGTCACTATCATTTTCACTGAGTTCCAACTAAGTATAATTCTCAGATGGTCAATTACTATTTTAATTTTGTTTGCTGTGTGCTTGTAAATGTGGAAAATTTTTTAGTTCTTTAAGCATTTCTGCATTTCACAAACATAACCTTCTGCTCTCTTGAATACACTAAATAGAGAAACCCTGTTTCTTTTCCCCCTTCTTCATGGAGGAATTCTGAAACAGTTCTTTTGTTATGGAAGAAATGCTCATAGGAATCCTAATGTATTTAATGTAAAACACTCTCAAAGCTGTTTTGTCTTTTGTTCTGTGGTAGCTTATCCATCTTTCCCAGGTCTAAACAGTCTTCCTGGGACTCCATGGGTGTCATGCTGCTGGCAATTCTGCCAGGGAACATCAATTGGCTCAGCCTCCAGCTGATACCGTGGTAGCTTGGAAATACCCCCTGGAAGCTCTTATCATCTTTGTGCCAGATGTTTCACAGAAACTAAGCAGCTCGTGGAACTTCAGTGAGAAAGAGAAGGAGCTTCTGGTATGTTCTGTTAAAGCAGAATAGTAAATATCTCCTTCAATACACAATGTACCTGTGTCCAAATTCTAATGGATTCTGTGGCTTCCCTGTCTTTGTTTCCTTGATGGGCAGTAACTCTGCTACACTAATTAATAAATGGAATTGTCTACAGAAAAGTTACAGACACTGGAATCTGCTTTCCTGAGGGATGTTCTTCATCTGAAACCAGAGAGTAACCCCTCTGAAAATCTGAAGTTAAATCCTGACCCTGTTTTTCCTTGGGACCACCAACTGTGGCAAATTCCTTACTTGCTGGATGGCTGTTAAATCTGCTGCTTGATGGTTCCCTGGGATCGTTTCTGTGTTCTTCAAAGTAAAGCTTGGCCTTCATTCCTCAGGATAGAACAAAGTTATACTCAGCAAGGAAATGGAGATGAGCTTTACCCTGTGTGTTTTTGTCACTTGTTGTGCCTTCCAAATTGTCTTATATCCAGCTTATATCCATTTATCTATTATTTTTCACACTGTATTTGCAGTCAATACTGGCCACAGATGTAACATATGGCTCTACTTATCTAAACTGGGTGGGAGCAAAGGCAGGAGAGAACAGAGACAAAACCAACAAAAAACCCAACTACACTTCAGCAATCAGATTAGACTGAAAGATATTTATTTAGAAACAACAGCTTTGGTATTTTAAAACCAAACAACCTGTAAGTCACTAGAAAGTGGGATGTCTTCCCCCATAGCCAAAACAAATCAATGCACAAAGTGTCAATAGGCTTAGAATAGGAAACCTGTAGATCAGCATTTCCAAGTGTCTATCCAGAAAATAATTTCATTAAATTGATTTTGCACTCTACAGTCATAAAGGCTGAAAAGCGTGTTACAAGAACTTAGATCTCTAATTCCATTGACTGTTACTGAAGTGGAGGAAAAATTAACATACTCCCCCTCCCCCCAAGCAATAAATTAAAAACTGTATACCAGAAAAGAAGTTACACTAAAGTTTTCTAATTAACTCTCGGAAGGGAATCATCATCCTTTATTTTTCTGTAGAATTAAAAAAAAAAACCAGATCAAAATATCAAAGGACTTAGGATATCTTCAAGTATTTTCACCAAACGGATTACTCCTAGGGAACTGAATAGCTTACAGGGAAAGGAAACATCTGTTACACAAGCTTCTGGGATTAACTATTGAATCACCACACCTTCCAAGTCTCAGATTCCTTTAATAGCAAGGCACAAAAGGATTGTTGCTTTCAAATGGTCCTTGTTCTCAGCTGCAAAGCTGCCAGGTGTCTGTGCAAATGGAGGCTGAAAGCAGGACTAAGTTCACTTGGATGTGGGGATGCTCCCATTCAATTAATGGAACAGGGTGTTATTTCAAGACCATCTATCTTGCTTACTGCTACAGATTCTGAGCTACAGCTGGCTTCCACTTCTTCCCTGTTTCTGGAATCAAGTTCTGCATCACCTTCATTTGAAGTAGGTCCAAGTAAGACAAGGCAGCAGAGCTGTTTGCTCTGCAGTGCCCAGCAGGACGAGGTGTCAGGGCTGTGGCTGTGAAGCCTCTGGGCACTTCAGCGGGCAGAGTCGGGGACAGTCACCTGCAGCAATGGTTAACAAGTCACTTGGTAAAGGCAGAAGGCAAGTCTTGGAGATGACAAAGGCAACTGGATAGACAACAGTGAAAGGACATAATTACATCATTCCAAGGACACATTTCAGGCGCATGTCAGGGCACAGCTGTTACACAATGACTGACATCACCTCCTAAGCCCTTCCTTCCTTTGCACTGAC